CCCAGGGCTCGACACGTGAAAACCCTGGAGCTTCGGTATTTTTCTCTTTGGTGCTCGAGATTCTTTCTGGTGATCAAGGCTGAAGTAGGTTGGAACATCATAAGGTCAGCGCCGAACTTGGTCATGCTCGCGAATCGGCGACGGCCGGCACAGACCGTGACCAGGATCGGCATGGATGAGGTCCCGCGGCATCTTGGTCATGGTCTCCGTCTCTCTTCCCTCGAGCGACGACCTGTTTTTGTTCAGTCCGGGGAGCAGTTTTCCCAGGGACGCGTTTTCGGGCCCAGGGGGGCAATCAAGTACGCGTCCAGCACGACAAAGACGGTGAGGGCACTGGAGAAGGAGCCGCTGGATGAGGAATCGAGAGTCTGGGAGCTGGTGGAACTTCAATGGAGGCTTGGCCTCTGACATCGCCGCCACCCTCGTCAGATAAGGAGGCCTCCAGGGTCTGAAGCCTCCTGGGCACACTCCTGAACCAACGCCCCCACCCTACCCGCGGGGAGCGGGCCTCCTCCTTCTGCCTTCTGAGAGGGCCGTCTCCGTCTCACTTCCCCCCCCGCCCGCCGCCAACACCCACGGGGGCAGCGTCGGGACCTCGGGGCCGCGGACCGTCGGCGGATGTCCGAGAAGGGAGGGCGGGGAGGACGGGGCGGCGGCGGCGAGCGGCAGCAGCGTCCCGGAGGCGTGCTCTCTCTCTCTCTCTCTGCCTCTCTCGCGGGCGTGTGGCCTGAGAGGCGCTCGGCAGCACTGTGTGCGGGGGGGGCGCGAGGGTAGGATAGCAAAAGGGGTGGGGCAGAGACTCAGCTCACGCGGCTGGTTTTCCTGGCGCCTCCTGGCGCCAGGGGGCACCCATGTATCGCGGAATGGGCCCGGCGGCGGGGCCGAAACCAGCGGCATGCAGCAGATTTCGTACCCTCCCTTTCCCCATCCTACCCTTTCGTCCGGCCCGATGTGCATCTCCGCGGGCGCACAGGACTGCCAGAACGGGCCGGGGCCGCAGTCGGCGCCTACTAGGTGCGCGCCTGAGTCCGAGCCTCAGATTGACGTCGGTTCTTGTGAGCCCGAGCCTCAGTCCGAATCGGGGCACCAGCCGTGACCGCCCAGGTGTGCGCAGAGCCTGCGCAGCACGCTGCTCAGACCGGGTGCTTGTCGAGGCGGGGCCCACCCAGCAGTGGCTCTGAGAGCGCCGCTCCCGGGGGAGCGCTGCCGTGCGGTGCGCGAGGGCGAGCCATCTGCAGCACAGCTCTGCTGCACTGCACGCCGGTCGTGGGAGGCAGATCTTTTGGGATCGCCAGATCCCGATCTACTTCTGGCGCCTTCCGACTTCAAGAATCGGTGCTTTCGGTCGTGTTTTGTTATTCTCTGGGTGGGCCCGAGCCCAATCTGCTTGATCCTCCCACCTGCTCCTTCTGACCGGCCTGTACGAGAGCGCTTCGTGAGATGAGCAGGGGTGCCCAATGAAACCAACACTCGCCGACCACCACGAAATTCATGCCGGGTGTGATCTCGGGGAGAGTTTGTGCTGCGCGGTCGTCGAGGGGAACGCCACTGCACGACGATCTGTCTGCCATCGCCCCAGTCGTTGCGGAATGACCGCGCTCTCGGCCGCGCCTCGTTCTACACCGTTCGGCATCAACAACGAGCTTTTGCGCAAGTTTTCCACAATGCTGGACACGCACCTGTGGGGGCTCTCCGAGCTTGCGCCTGAGCTTCGCCGAGACGAACTGATCAGATCACTCTCGGCTCAAAGGTTCGCCTAGGTAGACACAGTGTGCAAACGTCCTGCGGCACATCACCGGGAACTCATCGTCGGATCTCCTGGACCAGATCGTGAGCGAGACCTGCACCAGTCCTGCGGTACGGGGCTGCGGCTCTCACCTGCCAGTGCCTCAGGTTGATGCTCGCCGCCAAGGGTACAGGGCACAATTGGCCGACGGTCCTCAGGGACACGCGGCGCCATCTGGGCATACCGCAATCGAAGCCACGGATCCGGTGCAAAGGCAGCCCTCGTGACGATCCCTGTCGACAGGATTCCCCGGGGAGAGGCACGCAGCTGTCTTACCACTGCTGCGCCTAGCGACGACGGGGGGGGACGCTGCGCCGCCACCTCAGCAGGATAACTTTTCGTTCCCCTCAGGAGGCAGGTGGCCAATGCTGACGCGGATCAAGCTCATGGCTCTCTTCTCCTCAAGGAAACAGCCCGGCCAGAGGTGGCCGGCCAACTCGCAGGTTACCGGGTTACTGTCGCACAAGGACGAGGCTATGAATCATTCTTCGCGGGAGGGTGCTGGTCCTCATGGCGCTCATGGGCAAGCCGCCACGATGGGCAGGATGAGCTCGGTGTCAGCCCCAGCTGCAAGCGACAAAGAGGATCACCCTACACCGAGTGCCTGGGCAGCAGCGCCTGTATCCATGGTGGATCCCGCAAGACAGCGCGGATTCGGATCTAGCTTGTATTACACAGTCGCTCACCGACAATCCCACCAGCCCTCTGGGCGTCGGTGGTTTAGGGCGTTTCCTCTTCCACCCCTCCCTCTTCCCCTTCGGGGAGGGGTTTACCCCTTCCCCTACCCCCTCCCCACTGACCTGGACAGGAGGGGCGGGGAGCGGTCAGAGCGTCCAAAACAGCCTCGGCGAGGAAGCCAAAATCATTGATGTTAGCAGGGTTTTGGCCCCATTTTGGCCTCCTGGGGGGGCAGCGCTAATTAAAGCTCAGCTCTTCTTTGATAGATCTCCTCCAAGATGGCACAAAGAAGCGCCCAGGAGGCCCCAAGAGGTCCCAAGATGGCCCCAAGATGGCCCCAAGAGGCCCCCAAGAGGCCCCCAGAAGGCCCCCAAGAAGACCCTCAGAGGCCCCAAGAGGCCCCCCCCCGAGGCACCCAAGACCCCGAAGAGCCCCCCAGGATCGCCAAGAGACCCCCAAGACGTCCCAAGAGGCCCCCAAGAATCGCCCAAGAGATACTCCAAGAGGCTCCTAGAGGCATCCAAGAGACCTCTGGCCCTTGTGCTTGCCCTCCTCCTCCTCCTCCTCCTCCTCCTCCTCCTGTTCCTCCTTCCTGCTCCTACTCCTTCTTTTCCTCCTCCTCCTCCTCCTCCTCCTCCGCCTCCTCCTCATCCTATTCATCCTCCGTCTTCCCACTCCCTCATCCATCCATCCATCCACCTCCTCCTTCTTCTCCTCACTCCTTTGCACGGTTCGGCCGTCCTCCTCTTTGCTGCCGCACTTCCCTGATCACCTCAACTCGCCTGGACATCGTTTCGGGATGGGCTGGTGGGGATAAGCAAAGCGTCTAGAATTTCTGAGTCATAGTGTTCGAGGCAGTGAGGCAGGTTGAGGACGACAATCCGAGGAGTATCAAGCAGCCCGAAGCCAACATCAATAGTAATATCCAAGAGCTCTCGACCGCATACGCGCCGACCTCATCTTCTTCGTAAATGGTAGGTTGCGCTGGGCCAAGCAGCGGGCCAAATTCGAAGTTGCACCCATCAGTGACCGAGGCCGAAAGAGCGGTGGCTGCCTGGAGGGTCGAGCCGCTGCGCGACTGCTCCTGCGCCCGCAGGCCCCATCTCTGGGGCACGATGGGCAAGCTAGGCTGAGGAGGAGGGGACACACGGAGGGAGGGTGCGGGTAGCAATCCATATGAGACGGGTGAGGAACATGAGGACGACGAGAAGAGGATACCTTTTCGTCGACACCTTGTCGCCCGCGCGCGACTTCTGGCGCTCCCCACCCCTGCGCACACGCTGGAGGCTAAGCCTCTGGAGATATTGATTTGTCGAGCAGCTCTGTAGCCACCGAGTGCAAGCTGCAATGCTCTAGCGGCCTATCAACTTCCGTGCTGCTCTTGACCTGGACTCACGAGAGCAAGCAGCCAGCGTCCGCCCTGCTCGCTGCCAAACACATGCGCGGACCCATCCGCCGCCGAAGACTCCCGCGTGCCAGCGCACCCGCGGCTCCCTCGGGAAAGCTCCACGACGCTGCCGACGTCGGCGGCGATCCAGACGGGCCCGCGGCGCGCACGGAGCCTTGGCACGACCTTCCCGCTGCCCGACAGCCCCGGGGGCGGCAGCGCCATCGGTCCGGGAGGCCTGCGCCGCAGCGCACGCTCCCAGGTCAGGCGGTCCAGGGCTCGGACTTCGCGCCGCGGAGCCCCCGGAAGGCCACCACCGCGCTGGCCGTGCTGATGATCCGCCTCCGCCGCGCTCTGCAGCGAGTGTCCGTGCTCGGATGCAGCTGTAGCTCTACGCCGTGGGCTGCTTCCTGCGAACACGTCCCGATGCCCCCCCCATTACGCAAGGGCGCACCTCCACACATGGACTCACATCAAGCTGTGCAAACGACCCCAGAGTCGAATCGACAAGTCGGATCGGCGATCGAAATGAATTGGATCGGCGGAAATCGGCAGCCGTGTCGGGGAAAGTCGAATCGGCGGAAATCGGCAATCTAGTATGCCTCGAGTAAGGACTCGGAGCCCAAATCGGAATCCGAAATCGAATCGAATCGGAATCGGAATCATCGACATCGAATCGAATCGGAGGAATCGGAACGAGCCCTGAAGGTATCAGGGCCTTTGCAGTTGTGAAAACCGCGAAGCGCTTCGGCCCTGCGCAGCTCCCTGAAACTCCCAGGGACCCAAGACATCCTCAGGAGGGGCTCTGGCCCAGACGTCCCCAAGACGGCCCGACACGGGCACAACATGGTACCACTATGGTACCAGTACGGCCCAACCATCGCCCAAGACGGCCCCAATATTCAAGACCCCTAAACGACGGCCTCAAGACAACCCAGGATTGCCCCATCCTGATCGGCCACACGACCACCCGATGGCCCCAAGATCAGCCCGTACTTCCTCGAGGCTCGTAAGGTGGCCCCCCAAGAGCCTCCCGAGAGGCCCCGGAAAAGGGTGACGAAGCAGCATCGAGGAACACCGTGCAGATCAGAGCCAAGGCCGTGCCGTCCCACAGCGCTGGTGCGCAGCTCCCAGCGAGCGTGGCGGTGGTCACGCGCGGCAGCACAAGCGGATAGAAATGCCTACCATCAGCGTGGCCCAGAGCAGCGGCAGGGACAGCAGGCCCGCGAGGTGCAGGAAGGTGCTGGCGACGCAGAAGGCGAACGTCAGGGAGCCGCCCAGGAGCACCAGCGACCGAAGCCTCTGCTGCGTGACGAGCAGCCCCTCGACAGACTGGTAGAATATGCTCAGAGACACCGTGGCGCTGACGTACCGCGCCGCATGCCCTACCTCGGCGACCACCTCTGGGTCCTGCGTGAACCAATACAAACCGCCGCCCCGCAAGAAGAACGCGGAGGTCAGCACGCCGAAGGCTGACGCGACTGCCGCCACTGCCAAGAGCACCGCGGCCGTACGGCCGTACTCTGGGTCCTCCACCTTGGCCGGTAGAAATGCGCGTGCAGCCCACGACATTGGCATCCCCAAGGCGAAACCGCACAGCATGAAAGCCGTCACGCAAATCTGGTGCGCTGCTCCACTCACCGTGCTTATCCTGACCGCGAAAGCGCCCATGGTGGCAACGGCCGACATCTTCAGCAAATTATTTGCGAAAAGGGCCCCTGCGTACGAAGCGAACGGCGCAAAATCTCGGCTAGACGGCAACTGCAACGGCGCAGGCCAATCCCCCTTGACACGCAACCGCGCCACGACGAGAAAACAGGCTGCGGCAGAGGCCACATCCGTAGCCAGGGCGGCTCCCAGCGTGCCGAAGCGTTGACACAAGATCAAATCTCCAACTACGTTCACCAAAGCCGCAACGATAGTTGTGAGGAAGGGCGTGATGACATCCTTCTCTGCCAGGCAGAACTGGTTCGACACGTCCCGGGTGCGGCCCACGAACATGCACAAAGCCCTGATCCTCAGATAGCGCACAGCATGTGGAGCCATCTCCGCGCTGGCGCCTTGTCTGTCCGGCTGGCCGATCACAGTGCCCATCGCGTCATCGGACCCGATCGCGATGGCTACAACTTGGATCTCAAACCGATCGATCGATTAAGCCAGAACAAATAGCGTGTCAGCACCGAACCGTTTGTGTGACCAAATGCCCCGAAATCGGTAAACACCCTCGGCGATCACCAACTGAGACTGGCACCAAAAGCGTGAACCACGTGCTCCGTGAAAACAACGAAGAACAAACCGAGCACTGCTCCGGCGGAGGCAGCAAATACGAGGGCATGTGATCGCACCCTGACGCGATCCTCACCTGCAGGCACGCTGCCCACCAGGGCCAACGTCGCCTGGTTGAAGAATGACAGAGCGAACGTGCTGCAGTCGTATGCCCCCGTAGCGGGGCCTAACGACGCGAGCTGAAGGGAAGAGACGCGTCCCACGAATGCCTTGTCCACGGCCGACATGACCGTCCCCAGCAGCACGACTGCATACCCAGGTATCACGAAGCGCACGATGCGCCAGAAGAGACCAGTCAAAGGCGTGTTCGGAGTCAACTGCCGCTGCCGCAGGAAGTCCATCGCAGCGCCAACCGGCTGCACGCAGGAGTGACCCTAAACGAGAGTGACCTTTGGTGCGCGGCTTTAGGGAGGGCGTGGGGGAGCCAAAACCAAGCGCACAAGCTGCTGCCATCTCACCGCATCCAGCGATCGGTGGACCCCGGTGGGCCCGCACCAAAGGCCACTCCAGCGAAGAGTCACACTTACGTGTAGTCGAGCCAAGCCCTTACACCCAACCAGCGGCGTCGGCTCAGACGCCGCGGCTGAGCTGAAACGGCCGCAACGACGCGATGGTGCCTCCCGTTGCACCGATCCGGACTCCAGGTCCTCCACCCTCCTGCTGCTTGCTGCCGCTCCTCCTGCTTCTTCGCCTCCTCGCCCCCCTCCATGCCCACCTGCCACCCTCTTCTGTTGTTTCTGTTTGTTTCTCCACGGGAGGCCTCCAATTTGAGGGTTCGAGTAGATGTGGTCGGAGGATCGCGCCGCATCGCCGATGCGTCGCCGATGCATTGGCGACGTCGGCGGTACATCGGCGACACCAGTGCGGAGCAAATCAGGCTACACATCGAGCCGCATCGGCGATGCATCAGCGATGCGTCGCTGTCCTCCGACCCCATATATTCGGATCCCCTTGGGGAGGCCTGGATCCACCTCCTCCTACCCCTCCTCCTCCTCCTCCTCCTCCTCCTCCTCCCTCCTTCTCTTCTTTTTCCTCCTCCTTTCCCCGTGCAGATGGCGGGCTGCACCTAGGAGAGCTACCTCGGGAGGGTCCGCGGGGCGCCGCCACAGAGGCTCTCGTGCCTCCGACGAGCCAGGTCCCGTGGGCAGCGCGCTCATCCACGTTCGAAGCTCGGGTCGAACTCGCTCGAACAATTTCAAGCCTGTCGATCCGAGTGGGCCGAAGGAAGGTCGCCACGAGGAAGAAGAGGCCCCGACGGAAGTGGTTCCTAGGCCCTTGGGGCTTTCCGTGTTCTTTCTGTGTATTCCCCCCCGCAGTGCCTCTTCTTCACGGTCCAGTGACCTGGGGACAGCATCTGGAGGCCGAAATCGAAGAAAAACCTCAGGATCCCCTGTCCCTGAGGACACCCTCGTCCCCACGGTGAGAGGAACACGAGGACGGAGAGGAGGAGGAGGAGGAGGAGGAGGAGGAGGAGGAGCAGTAGGAGGAGTAGGAGGAAGAGACGGATGATGAGGAGGAGAAGGAGAAGGAGCAGTAGGAGGGGTAGGAGGACGAGACGGAGGAGGAGGAGGAAGAGGAGGAGAAGCAGGAGGAGGAGGAGGAGAAGGAGGATGAGGAAGGGCAGGAGGAGGAGGAGGAGTAGGAGGAGTAGGAGGAGTAGTAGGAGGAGGAGGAGGAGGAGGAGGAGGAGGAGGAGAAGGGAGGAACATGAGGAGAAGAAGGAGGACGAGGAGTAGGAGTGGGAGGAGGAGAAGGAGGAGGACGAGGAGTAGGAGGAGGAGGAAGGAGGAGGAGAAGGAGGAGCAACACGATGATGATGATGATGATGATGATGATGATGATGATGATGATGATGATGATGATGATGAGGATGATGATGATGATGATGATGAGGATGATGATGGTGATGATGATGATGATGATGATGATGCTGATGCTGAGGATGATGAGGAGGAGGCGGAGGAGGAGGAGGAACGTTGAAGAAGACAAGCAACATAGACACACACACACTGTTGGGGGTCCGTGCGGATTTCTTGAATCGGTGCTGGACCCCCCCTTGGCGCGCAGAGCGCGCCATTGGGACTTCACGCAGATCCAAGAAGTCATCGCGGACCTCCAGAAATTTATGCATGTGCAACTTTCTGGGTGTGTACCCCCCCCGGTATCAACATACCCTTGAACGAACGACCTGGTGCGAGACTGGGCAGACTGGGCGAGCACGGGCACGCGAGCTCTGCGGCCACACAGCACTCTGGCGAGGACCGAAACGGGCAAGTCGCTGGTCGACTTGGCATGGTGGGGGTCCGATCGATCTCCGACTTTTTCCTTCTCGATGAGGAGGGCGAGGAGGGGCAAGCGAAGAACGAACATAATGACGAGAAGGGGGAAGCGAAGCCGGACGAGGGCGATGAGGACGAAGAGTAGGAGGAGGACGAGGGGGATGGGGACGACGAGAAGGAGAGGAGGATGAGGAAGGGCAGGAGGAGGAGGAGGATAATGAAATGGACGAGGAGGAGGAAGAGTAGGAGGAGACATAAGAGGCGCAGGAGGAGGAGGAGGAGGAAGAGGAGGACAAGGAGGATGAAACGGAGAATGAGGAGGGGGGAACGAGCAGGACAACGAAGAGGAAGTAGGCAGGAGGAAGAGGAGGAAGAGAAGGAGGAGGAGGAGGAGACGGAAGAGGATGACGAAGCGGAGGAGAAGGGAGATGACGAGGAGGAGTCGCGAGCGCATGAGGGGACGCGCCGAGTCAGGATTCAGGACAGGCGTGGACGAATGGAAAAAGGAGAGTCAGCACAATCTCTCACGGACCATGGTGATAACATAAGACGGGCCTGCCCGCAATTATACCATCCAGCGCGGGCCCTGTGGGTCCGAGCGGTAGTAAAGCCTGGCCATGAGGGCTGACCAGGGCAACACTGGACGGGGGACGGACACAACACCAGGCCCCCGCCACCAGAAACAACACGAGTTGAACACACCTTAGGAAGCGAGACCAAACCAATCCACAGCAAGATCTGACACGAGCATACGCCGGGGAAGCGGTATGGGGTGCTTGCGGCCTTCGCTAGGGTGACGGCCTGAGGCGACATTGCCTCGTCGTCATTTCATCTGAGGGTTCCCCTCGAAGGCCTTGTGGTCCTCACACTCATTATAGAGCTGGGACGTATGTATAAGCACGCTCGGAACAACATCCACAACGCAAGCATCCTATCACGTTGCCCGCTCGGTATAGCACGTGGCCTGACGAGGAGGAGGATGAGGAGGAGGCCGAGGAGCAGGACGAGAGGGGAAGGAGGAGTAGAGCGAGTAAGAGAGCGAAGACATGACAAAACACTGAGGATGATTCGATGGGGTTCTATAACCGCTACACTAAGCGCAGCCGAGGGGGAGGAGGAGGAGGAGGATAAGGAGGAGGAGGAGGAGCAGGAGGGGGATGAGGAGGAGGAGGAGGAAGAGGAGGCGGAGGCTGACGAAGAGGACGAGGAGGGTAATGACGAGCAGGACGAGGTGGAGAAGGAGGATGAGGACGACGCCCACGAGGGCGAGGACGAGGAGGACGAGGACAAGGACAAGGACAAGGACGAGGACGAGGAGGAGGAGGTGGAGGACGAGGAGGAGGAGGAGAAGGATGATGAGGATGACAAGGAGGAGGATGAGGAGGAGGAGGCGAAGAAGGAGGAGGAGGAGGAGGGGGATGATGAGGAAGGAGGAGGATGAGGAGGACGAGGAACACGAGGCGGAGGAGAACGAGGAAGAGGCGCAGGAGGACAAGGGAGAGGAAGACGATGAGGAAGAGGAGGGGGAGGCGAAGGACGAGGAGGATAACAAGGAGGCCGATGAAGAGGATGATGAGGAGGATGAGGAGGATGATACTGATGATGAGGATGAGGAGGAAGAGGAGGAGGATGACGAAGGAAGAGGAGGAGGATGAGGACGAGGAGGAGTCGGAGGGGAGCAGGAGGAGGACGATGATGATGCTGATGATGGCGTCGATGCTGCTGCTGATGATGCTGATTATTAGGATGCTGAGTATTATGATGATGGTGATGCTGATGATGATGCTACTGATGATGATGATGATCACGGTGATGATGCTGATTATGATGATGACGATGATGGTGCTGCTGATGAGAATGAGGAGGGGGATGATGATGATGATGATGATGATGATGATGATGATGATGATGATGATGAGGAGGAGGAGGAGGAGGAGGAGGAGGAGGAGGAGGAGGAGGAGGAGGAAGGAGGAGGACGACGAGCAGAACGAGGATGAAACGGAGGAGAATGAGGAGGAGATGGAGGAGGAGGAGAAGGAGGTGAGGAGGAGGAGGAGCAAGAGGAGGCGGACCAGTGTAAACCCAAGAGTCATCAACGACGTTGGAATAAACCATCCCTCCAAGCTCCCTCTTCATAGGCCCCATACAACGGTTCATTGTCATTGAGGGAACTGCCTCGTTGTAAGACAACCGTTTGAAGACCCTGAAGCATGCCATGACATTGTTCTCGAGATTAACCTGACTGCTGCGCTTTGACGAGCCGGAATCGTGCCAGAACGCCATGCTTGGGACTTCAACGCCGCGTAACTGGTGTACCCTCATAATCCCAAATCCTTCCGAAACTCCACGTCTGATACTTGGATCATGGGATTCCGTGAAGCTCTTGCAACATTTGAAAACGAATGTGCGCGGCGCTAAGGCGGGAACCACAAGTTGAAAAGGAGCCGCCCTCAAACCGTGAAGCTCTTGCAATGTTTTAAAACAAATGTGCGCGGCACTGAGGCGAACACCACATTTTGAAAACGGGTTCCCCTCAATCCGTTAAGCTTTTGCAGATGGTTGAAACGAATGTGCGCGGCGCTGAGGCGAGAGCCACATTTTGAAAACGGGTCCCCCTCAATCCGTGAAACTCTTGCACATTGTTAGAACGAGTGTACGCGGCGCTGAGGCGAGGGCCACATTTTGAAAACGACCCGCCCTCCATCTGTGGAGCGGCTGCCAATTTCGAAGCTTCAGGGTCATACATGGTGAGGAAGTCTCAGGCGCAACGCCCGGCCCGCCCTAAAAACTTGCCCCGGGGTGCGACAGGGATAACTTATGTATTAGGAAAAAGGAATGGAGGAGGAGGAGGAGAAGGAGGAGGAGGAAGAGAAGGACCAGGAGGAGTAGGAGGAGGAGGAGGAGGAGGAGGAGGGAGGGAGGAGGAAGGAGGGAGGAGGCGGAGGAAA